TAGGCACTTAGTACTATAAACTTCCTCAGGATTGCTCTCATTGTGTCCCATAGATTTTGATATGTTGTGCTATCATTTTTATCCTATGTAAGAATTTTTTTTCATTTCTTCCTTGACACAATTGCCATTCAGTAGTGTGTTGTTTGGTCTCCATGAGTGGGCGCACTTTCTGTAGTTTCTGTTCTTGATATCCAGTTTTATTCCACTGCTGTCTGATAGAATGTAGAACTTTTTAAATTTTTTTCCGTGGTTCTTGAGACTTTCCTTATATTCTATTTGGTCAATTTGGGGAAAATTTTCATGGGTTGAGGTGAAGAATGTATATTAATTAGTTTTTGGATGGAATGTTCTGTAGACTTCTGTTAGTTCCATTTGATTTATGATGTCCTTTAACTCCAGAATTATTCTGTTTAGTTTTTGTTCTCAAATGACTTATCTATTGATGAGAATGAGTTATTTAAATCACCCACTATCACTGTTTTATTTATCTGTGCATTTGTATTTAAAAGTATTTATAAAATTAGGTGTCCCTGTGTTTGGTTTATAATTATTTGGGATTGTAATATCATGTTGGTGGAATTTCTTTAATGTGTATGAAGTGTCCCTCCTTATCTCCTCTTACTAGTTTTGGTTTGAAGTTTCTCTTGTCATATATTGAAATATGGATTCCTGCTTGCTTCCTAGTTCCTTTTGCTTGGAATAACTTTTCCCTCCTTTAACCTACATTGATTTCTAGCATGGATAAAATGTGTTCTTCAAGGCAGTTAAAAGATGGATCTCATTTTCTAATCAAATCTTGAGAATTGGGAATTGAGAGGATAAATATTAGTTATTATACTAATGTGTAGTAGTTCCTATCCTTTTATTGATTTTGTGGTGTTTTTCAGATCTATTTTGATTTCTTGTATCAAATTGTTTGTTTGTTCCCTGTGACCTCTTCAGTGTTTTTATCAGTCTGTTTAGATTGAATTATTCCTTCTAATATCCTCTATCGAGTTTATTTTATAACCATAAATTCCTTTAATATGCTTTTATTATGAAAAGTTTTTATTTCCCCTTCAATTTAATGAGAGTTTTGATGGGTATAATAGTATGTTGGAAATTTTGGTCTGCTGTAATTTGAAATACATCTTTCTAGGCCCTTCTCAATTTACCTGTTTCCTTCAAATTATCAGGTGTTATTCTAATGAGCCTGTCTTTATGGGTGACATTTTTCTCTTGCAGGTTTCATTACCCTTGCTTTATTCTGTTTTTAATATTTTATCTACAATATGTTGTGATGAATTTCTTTACTAGTCCTGTCTGTGGCCCTCTTGTACCTAGATGGGCATTTCTTTTCACTAGGCTTGGGAAATTTTCTACTACATCATTATTGAAGTTATTTTTTAACAATTCATGGTGGTATCCACCTCCTTTGTATGTGCCCATAACTCAAAAGTTACGTATTTTTGTGGTGTCACAAAACTCTCCCATGTTTCATTTTTTTTATTTCTTGTTCTATTTATAATAATCAGGAAATGTTAACAGACTAGATTTCCATGAACTGATGAATGGACGATGAAAATGTGAAGCATTTGCATAATAGAATATTACGCAGCTATTAACACAAAAATACAAAGTTTATAGATAAATGGATAGAGATAGAAACAATCACTTTCAGAAAGGTAACTAAGACCAAGAAAGACAAATGTCACATGTTTTCTATCATTTCTGGATTTTAGCTTTGAAACTTTAGATATATGGCTTTCATTGAAATACTCGTAGAGTCAAAAAAATTGTAAGGGACTATGGAGTGGGGGCAGCTTTCAATAGAGGGAATATAGACCATAGTGGTATAAAGGGTTAAAGGGGAATAATAACAGGAAGGCTTCAATGGGATGGGAGAAAAGAGGATTGAGTTGAGGAGGGAATATGTGGAGGGATAAATAGAACTAAGGACGTTCTGAAAAAGTCATATGAAATTATTGAATAAACTTCCTAAAATATATACATGCACATGTATAAAAAGTCTTTAAATGGGCTTAGCTTATAAAGGAGTGACAATATCACTAGGTACAATCTAGAATGAAAAATATTTTTAAAAACCCAAATTATTTCATTAGAAGAAAAATTAACTGAATTGGAGATAATCAGTCTACCATAATTAAGCCAACCACAAAGACAAATACAATGTTTTCTCATATAAGCAAAATCATCATTCAAATAGAAGGGAGTGAGTTTCACTGAGGAATACATCTAAATGACTTGAGAAGAAAAAAAGAGATAATTGTGAGGGAAATTAATGCAAAATCATGGCATGAATTGTCTAATATGTGAACTCTAAATTAAAAAAAATCATCATGAAAACAGAATTTGGATGATTTGAGGTAGAAAGGAGACCAGCATTAGGAGGGCTGAGAGATGGGTTTTATGTGGAGAAATACTAGCGAAGTTCACTGAACCCAATCATTTTTATACTATGTAAAATATAAATTAAAAAAGGACCATGCCAAACATAATTACTAAAATCCATCAACGGTATCATATTATGACAAACATGAAAAATGTGTGAAATTACAAGTTGATCACTCATAAGCAAAGGACTTGTTGCACTAAATTTTCCCTTATCCCCTTCTTGGGAGACCCTTGTGCCCACCACCTCTGAGGTGCTGACAAAACCAACAGAATAACTTCTATTTGGGTTTTGCATAATGTATGACATCTGAGAGGGGATGACTTACAAAAGCATGAATTCTCATAGGCTTTTACTTTGCCATATTCGAAACGTGGCCTGGGGTATGCAGCTCCATTTCCTAAATGGCGACGGCTCCTCCCATTTTTCCCAGGGTGCTCAGTGTCCCTCAGCAATTCTCAGCCTCTCTCAGCATTGGTCTCTAGACACGCCCATGTTCAGTTCTAGCTTTTCAGAGGATCCCTACACAACAGGACTAGAGTGTGCTAAGCAGACTGGCAGTCTCTTATGAAGTCAACTCTATATTGAACATAAAGCCTGGCTCTACTGCTCCTAAATGTTTATCCAATATTTAAGAAGCATCCCATTGATATACATGTACATTTTATACTATAAAAGCATTGCTCATAATTTTAAGTATATGGAAACAACCCAACTAACTCTAATTGGAGAAAGTGGAACGAATTGTGAAAGATGTATAAACTTGAACACTACTAATCAATAAAGTGATCTTCCATGCAAGCATACATATACTTAACAGAAGAACAGAGAAATATAAAATGCATTATACCATAGTAAGTAGGAAAGATTACTCTGTAATCCACACATATTTGTAGGGCATTATGGGAAAATGAAGAACAAGGACAGAAGTGAATGATTGATTGCAAGTACATGGAGGAAGTAGGAAACTGACTACAAAATGTAAAAAACATTTAAGATTATGAAGAAATGGGAATATTTTTCTATGAAGGCTCCTGGTTATTTGTACTTGTTAAAATCAACTTACAGAATAAAAATGAGAGATTATACACCATAAATAGTATATAATGTTGCAAATGCATAAAATAATTAATGACACTTACAAATATGTATTTAAGAATGCATCAATATGATTTTAAATAATTTTAAAAATATTTAATGATAGGATTAAACTTGTTGAAAAATATAGGAATGGCAGCCAGAAGGTACAAAAACACTTTCAATGATCCTAATAATAGTCAAGGTAAGATTCTCAACAGTTTATAAATAAGTTGCACATATAATTGGAATGCATAAATAATGACATTTTAAAATATTAAAATTTTCAGGTACATTTACGGTTAGAAAAGAAATTGCACTGTTCATAAGCCCTGTGCATTTGTTTATCCAAATGTTTGCATCTGCTGTTTATCTCTACTAACAGTGGACATAGAACTGCAGGTGTTAAAGCTGAACTCTATTTGATTGCTTCCAAATGTGTATGTTTAATTGCTCTTGAAACAAAATTTAAAGCCAACAGTACACATGTGACCCAATGATTACATTGATTTGTTCACTCAAGAAACCTCTATTCAATGTGTCTCACACCAACATAGTGTATACATTAAATATAGAAAATAAAAGCCATTTATAAACAGGAAAACAAAGCAAAACGTGAATACAAATCTCTTGATTTCTATGGAAATGAAAGCAATATTCATTCACCTCGTTTCTGAGAGGGTTATATGCTGAGAAAAACTTGGTGTTTTACATCAATTGAAATTTTGTATTACATGCTTAAATTATTTTAAGTCTGTGTATAAAATATTTAAATTCAATGCAATTTTAGGAACACAATGCTTCCACAAATCATTTCTTAGCCAGTTTTTAAACAGGAAGATAGTATGAGAAATATATATTGTTTTTAAAATGGCAAAATTGAACATATTAACTATCAAGGTATATTTAGAAATACGCTCATAAATTGGCTTTAGGTTGGTATTTAGGTACTAAATTCTAGTTGCAACATCCATTGAATGCCATTGAGCAAAATTGTTCATTGATAATATCTTTAGCTTGGACCAGTACCATCTGCTATCCAAACACCTAGAACTAGAGGGACAGAGACACTGAGGTTAGGAATTGAGTAATCTATAATCAAAGTGCATAATATAGATGAATAACTTTTCTATAGTGATAAATTAATGAATAATTTCTATTTCAAAACATCTTTTGACGCCAAGAAATGTGTCCATTAACCATAATCCTTTCTCATGCATGGGAATGATCATAAAATTCTCCAAATTGTCTTCTGATTTCTCAGCTGAAAATAATGAACTGCTATCTGCTAACTCTTCAATCTTACAGAGATAAATTATGTTCAAGGGAAGCTTAGTGTATAGTGTAGCATGACAAAACTCTTTTAATCATCTTCCAAAAATTCTTTCCTAAGCTGATTTTTAATCTCAAAGGATGAATTGTTCTTATTTTCACAATAAGCTAAAGTATCCCATGAAAATTTACTGTCTAAAAGATGTCATCCTTTGTTAGAATGTTATTTCTGAATATTTCTGTTCAATCAGTTACATGTTCAGTGAGCAGACATTCTATTTGTATTTGGCATTTTACACCAGAGTTTTTCCATAGAATTTTTCATTTCTGAATTTCTCAGTGTGTATATTAAAGGATTCAACAAGGGAGTGACAACTGTATAAAATACAGTGATGAATTTATCAGTAGAAAAATTGTAAACAGGTCTAGCATACATGAAAATACAAGGAACAAAAAAGCAGACAACCACCGTGATGTGGGAGCTGCAGGTGGACAGGGCTTTGCGCCTTCCCTCCTGAGTGTGAGTCTTGAGAGAGTTTAGAATGATTATGTAGGAGACTATGAGAAGGATAAAGACCACAATACACATGGCTCCACCATTAGCAATAAGAGTCAGACCAATGAAGTAGGTATCCGTGCATGCAAGTTCCAATAATGGGGACATATCACACATGAAGTGGTCAATGACATTGGGGCCACAGAAAGGAAGGTTGTAAACAAAGAGAATTTGAATCAGAGAGTGTGTGAAACCTCCGATCCAGGCAAATACCAACAAAGTGATGCAAACTCGTCGATTCATGATGGTCAAATAGTGAAGTGGCTTACAGATGGCCACATAGCGATCATAGGCCATCACCACCAGAATGACAATCTCAGTACCACCAAATAAATGCTCTATAAAGAGCTGGCTCAAGCAAGCAGTAAAGGAGATGACCTTTTTATCACAGAGTAAGTCTATAATCAACTTTGGCGAGATTGCAGTTGAATAAACAGTATCCAAGAATGACAGACATGCAAGGAAGAAGTACATTGGGGAGCCCAAAGAAGGGCTGGCAATGACTGTCACTACAATGAGGAGGTTGCCCATGATTGTCATAAGGTACAGAAGCAAAAACATGACAAATAGTGCTTTTTGTCCCATAGGATCCTGAGTGAGGCCCAGTAGGAAAAACTCTGTGACATTGTTGCTTTGTCCCATTGATTCCGTTATAAGATTTGTTTCAAAGATGGAAGTTCATGAGAATAGACTTGCCATGAGTCTAATAGACATGGTCATGAGTCCATTATGACTAACACATGATGCATGTTTTCATCATTTTCTTCTACACTGAATAACCTGCAGTAGACATTTAATAAACATTTCTTGAGTTCTTTTACCAATAATAAAAATATACTTCAGGTTGGTAACTCTGTTCCTCTTATGATTTTATCAACTCTATGACTAGTACATTGTATATCAAGACATCAGTGGATCTCTGTATCATAGTCATTCCAACACTTAGACATCTTACTTAGACTACATTCTGTCATCACAGCTCTCAGAAAGCAATGGCAAAAGGTGAAATGAATCCAGATTGTCAGAAATCTACTCTCTATGATATCAATAAACTTTTATTATCTTAATTCATAAATTAATTGGATCTGCTTTTATCTGGAGATAGTATCTTCAAAATAGGACCTTTATCTCTATGAGCATTCAGCTTACTGCTGACATTGCCCCATTAGACATATACTGTACACTACTCTAAACAATTTCAGTCCTCTAAAGCCAATTGACATTACAATTTTGATGGGTAAAAATTCACAGAGTCCCACCTGAAAATATTGAGGGATAAAAGTCGGTAAAGAAAAGTGGATACTCCGGGAAGGAGAATCAATTTTCTTCAGGGACTATCTTCCTGAATGACTAGGTAATCCTGAGTGGGCATCCCTTAACACATATAATCAGTAGCATCACTAAATTACCATAATATATATATATATGTATTTAGTGATGCTCACATATATATGTATTTATGGTGTTATATGTAACACTAATAATTAAAGAAGAGGACAAGCAATTGTGAGGGAAGGACACAACAGTAGTTAGAGAGGGAGGGAGTAGGGTGAAAATAATGCAAATACAATACTGACATATTAAAATTCCATCTTCTATCTTCTAGAGACATATTGGATTTTAAGTGATTTGACTTTAAATTGCATCAAGTCACTGTAAATGCATTTAGCTATTTTCGGTCTATAGAAAATATTTCAAATAGTTCTTTTAATTATTTTGAGAATTTTTAGTAAGTTCAGTATAGTTCTGCCCACTGCATCCTTGCTACTACTGAATTCAAATAACTTATTCACTATACTCTTCTAGAGACATATTGGATTTTAAGTGATTTGACTTTAAATTGCATCAAGTCACTGTAAATGCATTTAGCTATTTTCGGTCTATAGAAAATATTTCAAATAGTTCTTTTAATTATTTTGAGAATTTTTAGTAAGTTCAGTATAGTTCTGCCCACTGCATCCTTGCTACTACTGAATTCAAATAACTTATTCACTATACTGATCTAAATATGCATGATTAAACATAAATCTTCAAATCTACAATATCCTCAGCTACTTTTAGACTGTCTCAGTGACCTCAGTAGTGAAACAGGAGAAATTAGAAACTGGAAACTGACATAGAAAAAAAATCACTACTTGTCTTAAGTGTCATTTTCATGGATAGGAATTACACATTTAGAAATCCAATGTCCACACACCCAAAAGAAGCATATTAAAGGGGAAATTATATACTCCACATGAGACTGCATGGGCGTGAATCAATTTTAAATGAGTTACTAATATTTTACAGTTTACACATGAAGTTAAAGAAACAAGTGAGATGATTTCACAACCTTTTCATTCAAACTGTACAAGATAGTGCAGGCCCATTTCTGTGTTTGACTGAAAGTTTCTTTTTCTTTGTCATCTTTGCATAGTCATATAAAATATTTCAAGCCTATTCTGATTTTTGAAAAATACTAACCATAGATAAGTGGGAGATAGGAACTGCAATGACCAATTAGTTGCTCAAATTTTCCCACTGAGTGGTACAGAGAACCCTGGACAATTTTGGAAGCAGAGCATAAGCCAATACTGAATACTGTGGCCATATGATTTGTGTGTGTGTGCAATCTCAGGTTTATCAGTCTGCTAGGAAGGTGACCATGAACCACATTACAAATCTCCTTATGTTCCCTTTCATCGTTTCTACCTCAGAAACAGGCTTAGCCTAATTTAATAACGATGTTGTTGCTTTAACTATATGCAGAGCATACAAAGCCTTTCTCAGAGCCTGGTAAATATAAATATAAAAGCTGATAGCAGCATTTTGAGTGCTTCCACTGTGAACAAAGTCAATGAAGCATTACAATCCCTTTCAACAGAAGATTAATCTCCTTTAGTTCAAGATGTAAATAATACTACAAGTTTAGATTAAATTATGTGTCCTAGGAGTTATCTATTTACCACAGTTTGGTACAAGGAATATTTACCTGTGAAGCAATATATTTTGTCTAGAAGCAAACAAGAGTATGCTTTGCACTGATGTAGTAGTGGGGGAGGGCATGTGGAAAGAGTATGAGCTTTATTTAGAAGCTGGCCAAGATGCTCCTTTTTCAGACATATTATTTCTATTATTGTCAACATCTATTTCAAGAGCACTGGACATATAGAAGCTATGGACAGACAACAACATGCATGCTGAATAACGTAAGGGTCAAAGTATTCTATGTCCAATATTCATCCCTGTCTGACTTTCTACAGTGTTTGACATCTCCACTTCCATTAACTGTGAGAGTTGTTCTTCACCAAGTCAAATCTATTCACTTATGCCCACTTGATTATTTCCAGAATGCAGTAAAAAATGGAGTTCTTCAAGTATAACATAATGTCTTTAATGTTTTTAGAACTGTATAATAGTGTGATTATGCTTTTAAAATTAACCAATAAGACTTCTAGAAAAAAACATCTAATACAGTATTTAAGATCATCCATGGCTGTGTTTTTAACATAACAATTTTACGAATTTTGGTGACAGTACATGAGAGATCCTCTGATCATAGGATTAGCTATCTATGTGTACTAACATGTTTTTGGTCATCATTTTAAGATCTATACATAAAATCCCATATGAAGCCTCAAGAACATAAGGCATTTGTTTTCTTACTCTATAGCATACTTTGTGTACACAATTTGAATTGTCTAGTATAATCATATATAAAATAATTATATTTCTTCTTGGTTAAGTGTCATGTAAAATATAAAATACAAAACAAAATAATAAACAAATTGATTTTTAATTGCTACTCATGTAATGGACAAAATGTTTTGTACAGCAATGTGGAAAATAATAATCAGCTTGTGAAAATAAAACTAAATACACTATTTTTTTCAATTAATTTCTGTGTCACCTTAACTTTTACTATTCACATACTCCTCATAAGACTATCTGTCCTTTAAGAAGTGCAAGCAATTCAGTATATCACAAGAATACTCACCTGGTTTCCCTAGGCCATTACTTCTAGAACTCACATTTTGGATTTGTCCATGGTGGAGAAAATCATTGCCTCTTTTATTAAGGATGACTGTGGTGTATAAAGATGGAGTACACCGATATAAAGACATTTGACCATAATACCTATACTTATTGAATAAAGGATGCTAAATACTTTTAGCTGCTGTAAAAATACCAAAGAGCAAGGATATTATTTTGCACAATTGTTTATAAAATTGATCAAATTCATGGAAATATTATAAATATCCAAACCTCTTTTTAGTGTCGTAAATGAACAAGAAAAGTGAACACTGAAGATAGTGACATGAAATTCTATTTTGGTGAAGCAGCAACAGGACATTGCTTTAAGGACTTAAAATAACTTTCATGTGCTTAGCTAGTAAAGATTTTAGCTAACAATGGAAAAGCTAATATTAGAGATTTCTAATAAGTAAAAGGAAACTTCTTCAGTCTTTTACTCAGTCAGAATTACAAATACTTTCCTTTCCTAATTAAAAACAACACTCTGCATCTTCATAATATTAAAAATTGAAAACCTCCACAGACTTCCATAAGCAATGATAGACACACAGGAAGGCGATACCTTAAGGACTAAATATTAAGTCATCCTCCAGCTTGGCCATAATTCAGTTTTCAAAAGTCCCTGGGATCATTCTAATAGGAAAATAATTTTCCATTTATATGTGCAGGTAATTTTACATGGGTAGGCAACCACAGATCATCACTATTTCTAATAGAAGAGGCTGAAAGGTCATTATATTAGTTTGTTAGACTACATGATTAAAATTCAAATGAAGAACTCTCTCCTAGACATGTTTATTTCCATGCGCAATCTCTAGGGAAGAAGGCTTTAATATTACAAAGAGAGAAAAGGTAATTGCCAAGGGACATAAGGAACCTACAAAGTTATGTACAAAATACTAAAGATTCACCACCTCCCTGATGGCCAAATTTCATAGTGCCAGAAAGTATTATGTAGGTTGCAAAGGCAGAAAAGTTATCGGCAATTCTACATAGCTGTAAAACCTGAAAACTACAATAATGACTGGCCAGAAAGATATGCCCAACTGTAATTGTGCCACTGTATTGATGGTAACAAGTAGCTGTCTCTTTGGACTTAAGGTCTGCTCAACAGAAGGAACCTCATGCCTGGAACTGTTAACCTAGACAAGAACCTGTGACTGGAGAGGGCATAGGCACTAGAGCGAATCCCAGTACTACCATTTTGCTGAATTGACACAGTATCTAGTCACCTTCTAAATATTTATCCTTGCATTTGTAGATGAGTGTGGCCTTTTCCCCTCATCAAAGAAGCTTCTTTTTCTAGTGGACTAAAGCTATGACAGAGAACCACTACTAGCCAACCTGTAGAGAATAAGGAACTGTGGAGTACTCCACCTCAAATGAGATAGCTGTATCACAGCTCCTCCTCCCAAGGCTCAGGGAACATAGCCAATGAAGGGACCAAAAGATTGTGAGACTGGAGAGGACTGCTGTAAATCAGTGTCCTCTCAACACAACAGGGTCCTTGCACTCGTGCAATAACAGAGGCTGTGGTTGTTTACACAAGACGATTACAAGATCAAATCAAGTCAACACTCCAACATGGATAAGGGAGAGGATTATTGGGTCTCACCCCTAGCTGAGAC